TGGTCCGCCGGCAAGGGGTTTCCCAGCAGTTCCGTTGCCTACAAACCTGCGCGCGTACATTTTGGGAAGGACGCAACTCTATCCCGCAGATTTGTGCTCACCGCTCTCACGAGAAGTCCGCAGGTGCAGCTCCTCTCACGCCCAGGGCGCTTACCTGATGATCCTACATCGTAGGCTACTAAGGCAATGCCTGCGAAACAAACTGCCCTCCCAAGCCTCTCCTCCCCCGCAACCCCGCATCCTACACTTCGACCGAGAATTCGACGAGATTTCCATGAGAGTTACCCCGCACGCTCACGATGGCAAACTTGACCTCGGGGACGTGTCATCCCCGTCGTGACCTGTCGCGTGGTCAACGGTATGTGCCACTCAAGAGGCACCGTCGTAGTGCTCTGCCTCCGAATCCTTGAGAATGCAGCTTCCTATCTTGGCGGTCTGCGATCGCGGGTCCTCGTCCCTCCCTCCGAGCTCGACTAGGGGAACGTCAAGATTATCCCGACGATAACACCACGAACTCAATCTAATGAAGTCCTGCAGGCAAAGGACGTCTCCCGGTATGTCTACATTCTTGGCGCGAACCTGGGAGACGATCAGCTTTCTGAGTTCTGCTTCCAGGCTAGGAAATATCGATGCCAATGCAACGATCGCTATCAGCAATGCTACCTTTAAGAGCGACATTCCCATGGGCTGCTGCGCCCTGTGCGTGTCGGAGCGGTTCCGACTTCCCCATAGCCGCATGCAAACTTGCTCGCAGCTCCGCCACGCACCTATCCACGTTCGTGCTTTGGTGGCATGATACTACCCTGCCTGCTGCGACGACCGTAGCCGCAAGGCTGCCCGAAATCATGCGCTTCAGCCAAACTTTCACTCACACGCATGCTGCTGCTCGCTGCATGATGTAAGTCTGCCATCATGCGGCGGAGGCTTTCCCCAGCTCACCCATTCTCACGCACAGGACGCAACACATGAGTACGCTCTGCACTTACCGAATGTCGGCCATCCGAGCTTTATTACTAGCGCCCCCATGCATTCTCACACCGCCGCGACGTACCGCGCGAATGTTCCATACCCCCAATGTGTAAGCCTCGGTGCGGGAGAAGAAGTGAGAAGACTGCGAAGTCATGCGCGTGCTGCCAAGGGGTTGCGTAGCGTCAACTACTGTCGCCCGGGGTGGGGCCGTGGGCCTGCGTCCGCACATCGTGTGCACCGGACTTGCTGCGCGGACGCATTGCTGCTGATAGGGACTGTGGCCAGCGCCCTGCCTCGAGGTCTGAGGCGTGAGGAGGAGCGCGGAAGAACTCATACTGAGGTAGCAATGCGTCCTGATCGACAAGGCCTGGTCGGTGACGACGCTTGTCGGTCCGCACGTAATTGTATAGACGGCATCGGAAAGGCCGAGTATCGTGTGTGCTTCTGGACGTTTTCGGGACAGGCGCGCTCGCCGAGCTCGGCCGCAGTTGCGCATGGCTCTCCAATTTCCGGGAGTGCGGTCGGAGACGGGTCCTTGTTGCTTGTGGGTCCGTACGGGTGGTTGCCTGATGTGCTGCCCGCGTCATCTGAGCATGCGTTCGGTGCGCCGCAGGCTGCAGCTGATGTGTGTCGAAAGGTTGCGACGGCATAACTCAGGCAAAACGCCACGTATCCCTGATGTTGAATAAAGCGCCACAGGGAGGTGGATGCTGTTGTCGACGTTTGTTCTGTTCCCGGCGCATGCACATCGGACTTGTGGTCCGCAATTGCGTTGAAGGCGAGGAGAGGCGTGGAGATCCCTCACTTTGGGCAATCGGACCCGCATCAGCGAAGCCAGCGGGTCCTCGAGCCGGCCCGACAAGAACCCGCAGATCAGGACAAGCGACACACAAGGGAACTTGTCCTTCCAGATAACAAAAGGCATGGCTACCAGTCGGTTCAGACCGCAGTGCGTCCCGTGGCGTTCGCGCCAGCTTGTTCTTTTGTGATGGTGCAGAAACTCACTGGTATTCATGTAGCACCAACGATACCGCTTCCGGGCTAAGACAGAGCACCGGCCGCGATGTATTCTCACGGAACAGCCAAGCATGCTGAGACAAACGTTGCTAGGTGCTCTCACCATCAAGCAAATACAGTGAGTGGCACAACACCTTGCAGCCTTGCATATCAGAATGCCATCATGAGACCGCTACAGAAGCACAACGCCAAAGATGTCGCAACGCTTATTCTGTTAGCGGTGCGCCCAGAAGCCCTTCACTCCGACGGCTGGTCTGGCATGGTCGATACTCAACGCCCAAACCAGATATGGACCTTCTTCCTCCCAGGGTGTCCCATGTTGGCCGCAGTCCCTGGTGCGACGGCATCACGATGTGTGGTAATCAAGTTTGCCGAATGCGCGCTCCTTCCATCGGAGGCCACCAAGGACGAGTCGAATCGCCTGGGAAGTGACAGACGGCGGCTGATCGCGACGAGTCTCTTCGGGGCACTCGGAACTCGCAGGACGGTGACCCTGCGGAGGCCTTGGGCACCATCATCCGCCCAAAGGCGTTTGGCGGAGCATCATACTGGAGCACCATCGTGCTCTGCACGTTCCTGGAGATCTCCTTCGTCAGACGTCTCAACTCCGGAATTAGCGCATTTTGTCTAGCCCCGCGCTCACGACCACGACCCATCACAAGGACTCCGAGCTAGTTCCGTAGGACGTGTTACACAGAGAACGGTGAGCGCCACTGATATCTTGTTATCCGCATGTGCGCAATACAAGAGCTGTCGAGCTCAGGTAGGCTGCAACTACAGCGTATTGAGCGACTATCAGCCATGATATTCAACTGAGCAATGTCTCGCTAGCTAGCGGATATGCTTATTCACTCGCATCAGGTTTGCGTGTCATGCTGTGCATTCCGATATCCCCGGAAACCTTTGGTGATCAGACAGCGACCAAAGCCATCGCAAGTATCAAATAGTAAGCACTATTGATATTGACCATATTGCTGCCATTTCTCGTTGCAGTTCGATGCATCGAGAGGGGAACCTTCACGAGGCCATCGATTTGATTGTGGACATAAACGTGACTTTGGAACGCTACATATCGCCCGCCTAGCTCAATCGGATAGAGCGTCAGACTCTTACGAGTTATCGGGCATTGATCTGTCACGTGAATCGAGGGCGATCTGAAGGCTGCGAGTTCGACCCTCGCGGTGGGCTAATAGTTTTGTCTTTCTGTCCTTTTCCTGATATATTGGGATGCACTGACAATGTCGCATACACGAAAGCCATGGACGGTACATGACATTCAGTAAATGTCTTCTCATACTTTCATGCCACATCGATCCAGAATGTCCCGAGCGCATGGTGAGGTGAAGATCATCACTCATAACTGGCTCTAGTGTGAAAAAGTTGTGCGTACATGTATAAGGTACTCGGTTACCGGGCCGTCTTCCTGGTGTAGGCCTCTCCAATCGTCTGCCTGCGGGAGAGAATATTAATTCAAGTAGTACGTTCGGTAGCGCCTTCGGATTCCGAGTCCAGTCCACACCTGCCTTATATGGGACGATGTCACAGATCCATTCTTTTCAATCTTGACTCAGACTTGGGTCTGACAGAACTAGCAGACGACCATGAGTACGACGGCCTTGATCGACAGCAACCTCGCCGACTTGCACCTGCTCTCGAAGGGCAAGGTCCGGGATATCTACGCCACTTCCGACCCAAACCTCCTCCTCTTCGTTGCGTCGGATCGCATATCTGCATACGACGTGATTCTCCGCAATGTGCGTTCGGATATTCATTGTGGATGAATTACCGTTACGATGAAAGGAATTGACCCATGAACCGCTCGTGTGGAACGCGACTTTTAGGGCGTACCGGACAAGGGGAAAGTCCTCACGAAAATCTCCCTGTTCTGGTTCGAAAAGCTCAAGCATGTCATCCCGACACACTTCGTGACCGCGGATGTCGACAAGATGCCCGAGGAAGTCAGGAAATACAAGGATGTTCTCGAAGGTCGTGCAATGCTCGTGAAGAAGGCCAAGGTGATCCCACTCGAGGCGATTGTCCGTGGTTATATCACCGGTACGGTACTGGAACAGCCAATTTTACAAGGTTATTGATGATGTATCTCTTTTTTTTCGCAGGCTCAGGATGGTCTGAGTACAAGAAGACCGGCACTGTCCACGGCATCCGCTTACCGGAGGGTTTGGTGGAGTCACAGAAGCTCCCGAAGCCCCTGTTCACGCCGTCCACGAAGGCCGAGCAAGGGCAGCATGACGAGAACATCTCGCCCGAGCAAGGTCTGTTGATTGTGAGGAGGACATCGATACCGCCCGCTAATCGCGTATCTGTTAGCTGCCTCCATCATCGGGTCGGAACTCTGTGCCAAGGTCGAGAAGGCCGCGCTACAGCTCTACAAGGAAGCAGCCGACTACGCCCTCACGAGGGGCCTCATCCTCGCAGACACCAAGTTTGAGTTCGGAGTTGTGCCGTCCCTGTCGGGCGAAGGAGAGGAGTTGATCCTTGTCGATGAGGCTCTGACGCCGGACTCGTCCCGTTACTGGCCGGCGGCGGAGTACAAGCCGGGTGGGTCGCAGCCGAGCTTCGACAAGCAGTACCTGCGCGACTGGTTGACGAAGACGGGCTTCAGAAAGGGTCTGGAGAGCGGTCCTCAGGGCAAGGAGGGCGAAGGCTGGGTCATGGATGACAGCGTGGTTGAGGGAACGAGGAAGCGCTACCTGGAAGCTCTGGAGCTGCTCACCGGCGAGGGGCTGTAGAGGAGTGGAAACCCTTTCCGAGGAGCGGATGTACGAGCTAAGATAAGAAGTATAGACTGATCGAAACATGCGTAGTGTACACACGTACAATCTAACAAGAATTACTCCCTGGGTCATCGTCCTCGGCAAAGAGGCGTCGGGCGTGTGCAGCAGCATAGGCTATCATATCAGGTCGTGAGTGCGGGTAATCAATGCTCAACGCGAGACAGGTGATCGAAGGACCAATAAGGTAGTGAGATAGGCGGATCACTTGTGTATGACTTGCGAGGCAAACTTGCTTCTCGCACGGATGGCCGGACCCTTCCAGTACAGTACCTGAGGTTGCCCGGTAAGTCGTGAAGAATGCAGATCGGAGCTCAACGTTGCTCACAAAGGGTATGGGGATCATGAGGGTGGCGATGCAGGCAAACAAGGTGTTGCCCCAGTGGTACGTCAACCTGTCGAACATTTGCTGACTGAAGAGAGGAAATATGGCACCCATAAGGTTCCCTGTCGAACTGGTGAGCGCAAGAATGCAGGACGCTATAGGGTATGACGTACGGGAGAGGCTCTGTCCAGCAAGTGCGGACGATGCGAAGATGCCATAGCTGCGGAAGGCCTGCTGTCAGCACTCGACCTTACCCATCGATGGTAACGGACTAACCAGTCCGCGAGATACGTGAATACGGCAACGTAGAGGATGAAGAGCGATGTCATTATGACCTATAGGACAAGCAGCGTGAGATCCAAGTTGTACGTAGAATAAGGAAAACTCACGAAGATACCCATAGCCATACCTATCCATGGTACGTTTGGGAACGTACACCAAGCATAAATGAACATTCCGGTCGGGAAGAGAATGGCTGCAAGACACGCGCTGAACAAGCGGGCTTCTGGCCCTTTGGTCGGGTAATATCTCCTACAGCAATATGCAGTTCGGTTAGATCATTGACAATGCCACATAGAAGACCGAGCGTACGCATATAGTCTCTCCTGATAGATCTGGATAACCTCTCCGACTATACATCCGGCGCTATCGGTTGAACATAGTGAGACTCAGACGTGACAGGCCAACGCCCAGGGAGTGTGCTCACATCATGGAAGCGAACACGGTGCCTACTTCTCCCGTGCTGAAGTGGTGGATGGAGCGGAAAGCAGGTCCGATTGACCTAGGATACTCGTGGTTGGTTGGGGCGGAAGGGATGAGATGCGTATGCTTACTCCACCAGGACGAATAGGATACCCCATGCGAAACCGGCCCATAGCTGCGTACTGACGATTAGGGAGGGGGATCTACACGATCAACGAACTTTCGACGCACACTGAAAGATGCGACGACGGGCTCAGTAAAGAGGAGATCTGTTACATTGCATCAAGCGGACGCAAACGGCGTGCGAGAGATATAGTAGTACTCACACAGCGCGCGTGTGCATGAGACGTATATGAGAGTGGATAGACCGGGATATTGGTCCTCGACTCGTGCACGGTAGTGCGTGTTGCCAGTCTTCTTGCGAAGGCGTTCTGCCTTTCTCTTCAGTAGAACACCTGGACGGGTCTCTCTCATGATGAATGGGAACGTGAGCAGGAACGTGCCGTAGAATCTGAAAGTCGACACAGTGAACCATCACCGTCATAGCAGAAGTAACATGAACGTACATGACATGAATCCACTGGATCCACCTCCACTCCAGATGAGGGTTCTGTTCGATCGATCCAGCCGCCACGCAGCCTATACCAGGACCCGCCATGATCATGATGGCGAATACTGACATCGGCAGACCGCGACTATCATTATGTGTATCAGCTACATTGGCACGACTCAGATCGCACCCACTCACTCTGAGGGTGCCCATATATCCGCGATGGTGCCGCCGACCATCGCCGCTGCAGTGGAGCCGAAGGCTCCTCCGAAGAACCGACCTATGATAACCGTCTGTACATTCTGTGCCCTATTGCAACATGTCAGCGCACACAATCATATGAGTAGACGTGCATACAGCTCACAATGCGACCATTAAGTGCATTAGCACGGATCCAGCCCCGCTGATTATGTAGATCGGCTGTCTCCCAAATTCTTCACTGAAGGACGTGGACCATAGTGGGACAAGGGCGAGGGCAAGAGCCCACATAGAGAGGCCCAACGTAGCTTCGAACTGAGAGGCATTCAGTTCGCGGGTCATAGACGGAAACCCCAACGCATATGCCCCAGAGGAAGATGCTGTGAGCAGCAATTGTCAGTTGCCACGTTTGCAACATGGACTTTCCTCTAACCTGCGATAAGGGAGAAGAAGGAGACGGCGATGGTCATGGCCCATTTCCGAGTGTACGAGAAGTTCGCAGGGTTTCGGGGATCTCCCTGTTCGAACTCTACCTTTAGAGGGAGGTCAGATCAGCATCGGCATCAACTCTTGGACGGCGGGGATTCAGAGTAACATATGAGCTCACGTATATCGTTTCTTCAGAGCCTTCTTCGGACGTTGGCTCTTGCTGCAGCTTAGCATTTCCCTTCTCTTCATCGTGAGGATGTTTGTGCTCGCCAGCGTCAGTATCGTCCAAAGTCGTCTCCGGAGACCTCCTCGATAAGCTGAGCCGCACATCGATGGTCCCGACGGATCGCTTAGCATTGGACCCAGATCCAGCAACGTCGACTGGAGTGGCTTCCCGTTCGACATGAGGCGTCCGCATGGCAGCAGCTTACAAGCCCCTCTTTCTGCTGCGGAGACAGGAGGGGTGGGAGCGGGAGGAAGTGCAGAGGGACTTGAGGATTCGATCCCGGTGGGTTAGGGCAGAGCGCAAAGCACGACCAGGCCCAAGAAAACCTCCATTTCTATACCTCAGGGCGGAGCGGTGCCCCTCTACGGCATCCCTGTGGGAGAGCGGGTGGTCATCGAGACTGCTGAATCACTTTCGGGGGCGTTTTGACCGCCAATACGGGTGAATGGGCGCTTGTGTCGGATAAAGCCCAAAGTGAAGCTTCTGGCATACAGTGGACACGCCCCGCCTCGCCTCCTGGCGCTTCTCTTCTCCCGTCTTCATTCTGCCGGGGCATCTTGACAACGAGTATGCCAGAGCAGAGCCTGTCGTGCCCTTTCCTGGCATGAAGAGTGAGACTGGACCTCACGGTGTCACAGTTAAATCCTCGGACTTGCTTGCGTTCCACTAATCGCGAGGGCCGTCGCACGCCCACACTTCTGTGTACGCGCAGTGATGGTAGCTCCTGCCGAGCGGTCCGAGGGGCGCCGTACGCTCCTCAGCGGTTCGTGCATGGTCGGCGCAGTGAGAGTGCGCTCTTCTTTATACTATCCATCTCCGAGGTCCGTGTCGGTGCTCCGGGTCACCAAGTTGTCATCCGGATCGAGGACGTTCGGGTGGCGGAGTAGCAGTTGAAGGCGTGGATTGTGCCTGTTGTCAATGTCGACGACTTTGACTCCAGTATGGACGAATCACGGCATGCCGGTC